AATTCTGGGAGTTGAAGTCCATGCATCTTACAGTGCCCAAGATTGAGAAACACTGCCATAGCAGATGTTTTCCTTTTCTTTTCTAGTGAGCCCTGTTTTGATGCTGGCAGGAAGAAAGAGAAAACCGAAATGTCTCATGGTTCAGTCAAAATGAGAACCCGGAGTCTATAACCGATTACATCCCACACACAGATTTTAGCAATGATGACTGCTGGTGGCATAGAAAACATTCTGAAATTGAAATAGCTGTTTCTGAGTGAAGCTCGTTCAGAATGGTTGGATTCAACCATTAAATTCAAGCTAATTTAAGCTTGAAATAAGCACTTCAAGCTCTGGTTCAATGTCAAAATGTTTGCACACCCTTATTAACCACCTGCCTTGAACTTTGAACAGCATATATTATATAATCTCAAAATAAAATCCAAGAGGCACTGGTGTGCAGAATGAAATAGAGGGGAAACGATGTTTTTGTCCAAAGCTTTTCAGCGGAGAACTCAATTCTACCCTAAACAGAAGAAAGCACCCCTTTTCCAGCCTTAATTTAGTTTAGCCTGGTGAGTTCAGAAAACTATTTTAGAGACTGGAAGAAAAACATACTCAAAATTAAGGTCACACAATAAAAGTATAATGCATTTAAATACACAGGAGACATTTAGCATAGGCGGAGGTAGCAGCTTTGAATAGATCTCTTAGTCCTCACAAAGAGACAGACGTGGAATTGGATTTCTTTTCCCAATGGAACTGCAAGACAGAAATTAGGAATTAGATGAGGCACGTAGTGACGAAAGTCAATAGAAATAATAATGAGCACATCTCAACAGTAGGAAAATAAATCTTAAGAGTCTAGCTTTAATTGATTGATGTCTGAATTCTCTAGGATGATATCATTTCATAGGAATTTGCAAATGAAGTCTAATTGGGGACTTACTTTTCTTAGTTCTGCAAAAGCCGGTCCAAACCTATCCTTGATTAGGGTTCTGCTTTTAATCCATTGAGGAAGTTTGTTGAGAACAGCTGGACGTGTGTATCTGTGATCTAAAAGCACAATACTGGCAAAGTCCTTTTGATGCCGAATTGCTCTTCCTGTAAAAGCAAACCATCTTATTTAAGATAAGATAAGATAACCTTTATTGTCATTTTTATACTGATGGCACACATCAAAAATGAAATTTAGTTGCCCGCTCTCAAAGTGAAACACATACATGACACACACCTAAACATACTATGAACAACATATGTATAGACCCACATCCCTACATATACTTAGCAAATAAATGTTAAATACTGTCCATCTTGAATATATAACGGAAGGAGGAAGCTTGAGAGTTCACAAAGTTAATGCTGTATGGAATGAAACTATGGCTGAATCTGGATGTTCTGCTTCAGATACCACAAAGCCTCCTCCCAGAAGGTAACAAGGAAAACAGGTCGTGGAGAGGATGTGTAGTGTCCCAGATAATCTTACTTGTCCTTGTCACACTGAATGGCTAACATAGGATTAAATTCAATACAGAATGAGAAGTCACTGAGCACTGGCAAACAGAGCAGTATTTCTCAACCTTGACAACTTCAAGACGGGTAGTCTTCAGCGCCCAGAATTCTCCAGCCAGCATGGCTGCCTAGGGAATTCTGGGAATTGAAGTCTACACGTCTTCCAGTTGCCACGGTTGAGGAACTCTGTGCTAGAACTTCCAGGAAAAGCTTCTCTTCCCTTCCAAAGACACCCAAGGCTTGGGGCAAGAATGAGATTGACATACAAATATTTCCTTCCTCAAGATGACTAGGGCAAAGAATGGGTACAGCCTTCAGCAGCCTGTCTGTTCTTCAGACATGTGAAATTCAGCTCTCAAAATTTCCCAGCCAGACCAGAATACTTGTGAGAATTCTGGAAGCTGAAATCTATGCATGTGGAAGGCACTCAGGTTGCAGAAAGCTGTTACATTGAAACAGCTATGTGAGCTATTCCTTAATAAAATAAATTTTGATCTAAGGACTCGATATTTTATACTGATAACCTTACTGGTATATCTTTTACCAAACTTAGCAAGATGGAACCTAGATTATGAATGTATGAAACTAAGTAGGAGAAAGTGGCAGAGATTCCTCCTAATATCTTCTCACAAACTGCTCTCTCTAGCATTTTGGCAAGTCGGTTAAAAATGCTTCCTCACAGCTCAATTCCAAAGGACACTATTTCATATCCAATCCGAAGATGCATCTTGCCCACAGCAGTTGTCCATAATCAGAAGCAGAGGTTTTTCTGCTCTCATGTTACTCAAGCATTGCACAGGAATGAATCTAGGATCCTCTTATGTACAAACCATGACCTAAACGATCACTTGCCATTATACTTCATTACTGTCGTGGTGATGAGCCAACTTTGCACAGAAGCTCGTATGAAAAATGTGCATACAGTATGACTGCGTCGTAAACGTGTAACAGAAAAGACCACCCATTCCTAATTTCTCTGCTGCCTTGTCAAAACTTCCCTGATCAGTTGCTTGGGAGCGATCCCATGTTTAAAACTGACAATGAGGTAAGCAAGTCCCATTTGACCAAACACAAAACTCTTGATTGCCAGAGGGCTAGTTTAGCACCAACTGCCTCCTTACCTATTGACTGGTTGACTGCTTTCATGCATAGATTTTCAATGAGCAAGTTTCCTGGAGATTGGCCTGCAGACTTTGGCTAGAGAAAATCAAGACAAGTGGGATATATGAGTGGGCCTAGAACAGCGATGGCGAACCTTTTAGAGACTGAGTGCCCAAAAAATGGCCCTGCCTACCCCGTCCCACCCACTCCGCCCCCACCCCACCCGCCCCCGCCCGTCCACAGGGCCTCCTACTACCTCCAGATTGCCCAGGCAGCCCAGCAGCGCCATGGCGGCCATGCCCTCCACCTGTGGCCCTGCAGCATCATCTGCGTGTGACGGGGCACGAGGGCGGAATCTTGTCGCCGCTGCCCGGCTGCCATGTCCTTGGCTGTGCTGCTCCACGCGGGCTGTGCTCAGGGGCAACTCTCCTCCGAGGGGGCTGTTGGTGAGGGGGCCACGGGGAGGTGAGGCTGGGGTGAAGGCGCGAGTGTCCACAGAGAGGGCTCTGAATGCCGCCTCTGGCACTCGTGCCATAGGTTCACCACCACTGGGCTAGAACCTTTTTTTAAAATTTTTGTTTGTGTCCCGTCTTTATTATTTTTGCAAATAACTATCCAACACACCTTCCTCCTATTTTGCCCACAACAACCACCTTGTGAGGTGGGTTGGGCTGAGAGAGAGTGACTGGCCCAAAGTGACCCAGTTGGCTTTCATGGCTAAGGCAGGACTTGAACTCAGTCTCCCACTTTCTAACCTGGTGCCTTAACCGGTAGACCAAACTGACTCTCAAGAATACTCATCTCAAGTCACCCAACAATCCAGCCATCCCCTACAAATGATGCCACTAATGTTATTTATTTGATTTATACCCTACCTTTCTACCCAAAAAACACTGACGTGCTCCTACATAAGTTACATAGAAGTTCCTTAATTCTATTCAAGGATAGGTGTGACATAGCATATTTAGAGTAGATAAATCCAGTCTTGGTAATTGCTACCCCAAGGAAGTACAGGTAGTCCTCGACTTACAACCGTAATTGAGCCCCACATTTCTGTTGCTAAGTGAGACAGTTGTTAAATGAGTCTTGCCCCATTTTACGTTTCTTGCCACAGTTAAGTGAACCGCTGAACTTAAGTTTGTTAAGCGAATTTGGCTACCCCATTGCCTTTGCTTGTCAGAAAGTTGCAAAAGGTGATTGCATGATCCTGGGATAACGCAACCGTCATAAATACGAGTCCGTTACCAAGCACCTGCATTTGATCATGTGACCACAATGCTGTGACAAGCTCGTCGTAAGTCACATTTTTCCGTGCCGTTGTAACTTCACTAAATGAAATGTTGTAAGTCGAGGACTGCCTGTAGCTGTGTCGGGAGACAATCATTTGGTGCAATTATCTAGTCCACGGGTCTGTAATCTTGACAACTTTAAGACTTGTGGATTTCAGCTCCCAGAATTCCTCAGTGAAGTCCACAAATCTTAAAGTTGTCAAGGTTGCAGACTTCTGATCTAGTCAGATGACTTTCCCAGCTCCAATGGTTACATGTCCCTGCACGGCAATCTACAACTGTACCTTTGCTAGTTGCAAGCAATGCAGAATTTATAGCAACTGGAGTTAACCAAGTAAAGTAAATGGAGAATCTGACACGTTTAGACCCCTGACCAGCAAAACAGAAATGCCTTTGAGACAGGGAAGCAGTCACACTCCTTTGTGACTCTCTTTTGTGACCGCAGTCTTTTTCCAAAGAAATGAACAGTCAGCGTTCTCATTAAGGACAAGTTCTTCCATCTATAACGAATGGTCTCTCTTTACCTCATTTAGTGATAAATTAGCCACATCTGCATTAAGGTGAGAGGAGGGCCGTGCATAGCTGTATCAACTCCCAACAGTTTCAGCCATGGCAAGCCCAGAAGGTGCATTGTGCCGCACGAGGCCTAATGTGATGACCCAGGGCCCCGAACGGAGGCAAAGCAATTAGCTGGTCAGAATAATTGTCTTTGTAAGCACTGCCAACGTTCACCCAACAGCCCCCACATACTGTATGCTGGCACAAGTTCAATAAAACAGTCAACGGAGTTCAACAGTTCTTTAAAGTAAAACAGATAACAAACAAAGTATGATCTTTTCAACGCCCAGCTTGCCTGTAATCTGCAAACTGCCAAACTGAAGACAGCAAGGAAAACTCAGCAGGAAACAAACTTGATCCAAGATACAAAGAGTCCAGGTACAAGAGCTCACATCACAAGAGTTCACATTTGTTCCCGGCATATGCCCCACCCAGAGCATCTCCTTAAATACCTACTCCCCAGGTGTGCCTTGTGGAGTGGGGCGTGATGCTCTCCTCCCGAGCAAGTGAGCCTGCCTCCCTTGTTCCCTCCTCCTCTCTGCTCTCCTGGCTCTGGGATCTGGTGGGGAGGGGCCTTGCTCCTCGCCTGAGCTCTGCCTACCCTGTTCCAAACTTGAAGGGCCCTGGCCTGCTTCAGCCTGTTCCTCCCCACAGTCCTCCAAAGCCACAGACACCCCGTCCTGGGCCTCAACAGGGAACTCCATGTCGTCCTCAGAGTCAGGCTTGGACGGAGCCATGACACCTAAAGCCCGATACTGAGCCTCTTACTACTCACTATTTTGGGACTTGCCATACAGGCAGTCCTCGTCTTACGACCACAA